GCTGCTGTATCCTTCTTCTCCTCGGCCTGGCTGCTGCCGGCGCGCAGGTGGGTGAGCCCGGGCCGGGCTGCAGGGGAGGCGGCTGCTCTTTGGTTCTTAGCTCGGAGGGGACGAAGGGGTCCGAGTCCGCGGCGTCGGGGCAGCGGCAGGACAGACAGACCTGGGCAGGACAGACCTGGGCAGGACAGAACTCGGCAGGACAGACAGACCGACAGACCTCAGCACAGCAAGGGCTGGCGGAACGACTTCGCCTTGGCTTTCTTTCCCCTCTTGGCTGTTTGGGTTGTGTTGTTGTGTTGTTTTGTTGTGTTTTGTTTCCCCCCCTTCCCCCGTGACTGCCCCCGTCTCACGAAGCTTCTCTCGCTTCTTGAAAAATCAGAACCAGCCCAAAGCTCCAAAGGGAGCCAGAGGATCTGCCAAGGGAAAACAGCCTGCTGCTGCCCAGGGCAGGGTGGGAGAGACCAGAAAATATTTGCAGTGAGGTTGTTGAGGGGTATAATTTGCATGCAGAGTAGAAGCAGGCAGACTCCACCCTGCCCTGCCGAGCAGGAGGGCACTTGTCCCTCAGACGTGGGATGAGCGCGTTCGTTCTCCACAGCCCAGATGCGGCTCTTCAGCCTCCCCGGTGGGTGCAGACCCCCTGGAGCACTGCCCACCCCCCACCCCAAGTGCTGGCAACCCCTGGGAAGGGGGGACATTGTGACCCCAGGTCAGGCTATGGGCCTTGCCCGGAGCTTCACGTGCTGCTGGTGACAGAGCCGGGAGCCAAACGCCTGTCCCAGGGCATCTGGGACAGCCCAGCCCTTGCAAGGGGAACGGTCTGGGCGAGGTTGGCCCTGCGGTTGTTTGCGGACAGAGCGAGGTCCTGGCGCAGCTCCGCGCAGGGCCGGGGGCTGGGGGGGCGGCAGGGGCTGCGGGTGGGACCCCCGCGGGCCTTCCCCTCTGCTCAGAAGGACCATTTCCTACAGCCAGCTCTTGCCGGGCCTTGTGAGTGCCATCCATTGGGTTTCCTCCAGCCCTTTACGTTTGCAGAATCTTGCTTTGCTTTTTTTTTAATTATACAGCTAAAAGCTGATTCCTCTGCCTTTGGGTTATTTAAGCCCTTCTAGACTTGCAGACTGTTTGCAAGTCCCATGCTACAGGTGCTTTATTTTCTCCATTAAGCAATGTTTGGCACCCTCGCTGCCATTTGTACCTCTTCCTTTTGAACTTTTAGTGTTTCTCTGTGTCTCATTGTTCTTGATTAGCTGTGTCATTTTAAGTGCTTCCCATAACACAGTGCTATGTCTGGAGTGTGGCTGGGATCCCTGAGAGCAAGGTGCAGCTTCAAGGAAAACAACAAAAAGAGATTAAAAAACCAAACCAAAACAAAAAACCCTCTGCTATCTACAGCTTACAATTTAATGTCTGACTGCATAGTCCTGAGAGCCTTTCCTCTGGGTCCCTGGTCCTAAATATGTTGCCTAAAACCACACCAGCCTTTTTTTCCCTTCTAAAACATGTGTTTCGTTCTGTCCACCCTGGGTCCTTAGGCTTCTCTTAAATCGCTGCTTTTCAGGTGTTCTCCATATGCATATGAAAGAGCCTGCCTACTTTGAATGTGATTTTTACTCCATGGCTTTTAGGTGGTTTGTCCAATTCCTCAGTATCCCCTGTGTCTGTCTTTTTTGGTCTTTACTTTTTCTGCCATAGTGATTGGGACCATGATCAATGAAGCATAAGAAGACCTCAGTGTTCTTTGAACTTTTGCTTCAGGTCATTAACCATGACATATTTGCTTCCTTCTGGAGCCATTTGGGTTTGGGGCAGTTAGTTGTTCCTGTTGGAATTTCCTCATTGCCTCGAGCCTGCTCAACTCTTGACCAAACCTTGGAAATTCAGATTTCCGTGCTATAGCTCCCAGCATGGTTTGGGTATCCTTGTGTAGGAGCTAGGAGGAGCTCTTTGTTATTTCTCACCTCTCAATTCATAGCCTTTCAGAGGATGCAAAACAGGAAACTTGCATTAATTTGGGTCTGATGTGTAAAGACTTTCCACTGCGTTCAACGCGTGCTTAATTCCAAGTCTCGTAAGTGGTTGCACAGGGTGCAACTTCCCATAGTCTTCCCATTGCCTTGGACAAGTAGCAGTACAAAATAGTAGGGGGCTCCAGGGATGCTGTAGTGTAAGTTTACGTAGGATGAGCCATACTTTGTCGAAGAGCTTGTTAATCTAATATCCTGTTTGCAACACTAAGCAGGACCTGCAAGTTGAGAATGTGAAAGCAAGGCAAGCCTGGAGAGATGCTGCTGCCATCCAGCTTTTCAGGTTCTCCTTTGCTCAACTGATTTGAACAGTGGGCTTTTTAAGAGTGATGTTTTCTGATGGAACAAACTGAGAGAGTGTGTGTGGAAGGGCTGAAGTTTATCTGATGCACTTGTGTTAAAGTCTGTGATAAGTTGGGGTAATGGTAGGGCAGTGATATTTGCAATGTATTTCTTGCGAAGAAGAAGAAACAATTGCAAATGTAAAAGTTACTGAGTACTCATGATTCTGCTGAGAATAGATGTGATCATCATCATCATTTTCACCAAAGAGGAAGCAGGAACAGAGAATTCGTGACTTGTTCTAGGTCACACACTGAATGTGGAGCAGAAATGCTGAGAGCAGAGCTCAACCCTCCTTGTCTTGTGCTTTAGTAACAAGATGATCTTTCCAAGTGATTAGTCTTGGGTGGCTGTTGGAGGACACAGAATTTTACCTTCTTAGGCATGAATTGTCAGATCCCTTTCCTTGCTTCACACTGGTGAAGAACATGTTTCTATCAGATGGGAGTTAAAACCTATGAGAATGTGCATTTCCAAAATGCAATAAACCAGTTGCCTGGTTTACTCTTCACCTTGTGCAGCAATGCCATGGGTTATTCCACTTCTTCATAGTATAGAGAAAGTTTGCTCACTGCAAGCATCTGGAATTCTTTGTAAGATAGAAAAAAATCGGCGGAAGTACAGACTGTCTTTTAACTTTCTAAAATACAAGTCTTTATAACAAGGGGAGGGGGGATTGGAAGAGCATAAAAATGTCCATGCTGTGTTTTATTTACCATGGGCTCTCCTGGTTCAGTATTCTTGTTGTGATCAGGGTCAAAGGAATCACTCAGTAGAGCAAAACTGCTACAGTATCTGATCATCTAAACTAGTGGATTTATTCTGTTGTTATCAACAAGGGATTCAAAGTTACTTTAATTCAAATAGTTCACTTGTCAGAATGCCCTTGCAGGAACCATTCCTGCAAGGGAAACCAGAAGGTTTTTCATTGCTTTGCAGTTTCCCCTCAGAACATGTGACAAATCTTAAAGCGCCTCATATAAAAGGAATATAATGCATTTAAGACTGAACCAATCCACAATTTAAGAAACCTCTGCCACTTCTCTTTTCATGTCAAGCATCATCTTTCTGATGTAATTTCTTCTTTCCCACAAATGGGACCAAAACAAACCTTTACCACATTTCACAAGTCAGTAGAATTCAAAGCTTATCGGCCAACTCGGGGTACTGACCAGTGTCATTTATGGCACAGAGCTTTCTTCATGCTGTGCCAGAAGAAAACAAAAAAACAGGTCAAGCAGAGAGATTAACTGTGGTTAAGGATCTGTTTCTGTTGAGTGTAACAGTCATCCCAAGTACCCTCAAGCTCAGATAAGTGGGATGGAATTTGACTGATCCGCAAGAATCATTACAGGACAGCAAAAGGGATGTGTGCTTAACTACAATGTAGAAAAATCACAAAACCCTCAAAATGGTGCCCTCTGGCATTTTTATCTTAAATACACCTATTTAGAGGTATCATATTTGAGTCACTTTGCTCTGTTTATCCCTCTGTGCCTTGGAGTTCAAGCAGTAGAAAACTCTGCTGTACTAGGTACATGTGTAGAAGCCACAAAAAGGTAACCCCTGTCTCAGGGCTGTCCTCCTCCTGCTCCTAACCAAGTTCCTCTCTGTATGAACAGATCTCCAGGAGATGTTTGTGGTGACCAGAACCAGGAGGTTCCTGCCACCACATGCTGTGACCACAGCTTCCAGACCTCCTCCCGTCCTGTGCCCTGCGCTGCAAGGGGCAGCTCTGCAGCACAAAGGCTGCTGGACACTCGGAGGGGGCAGTTGCTGCAGATGCTGATTTAGCTTAGTGGAGGTGGACAGTGGGGAGAAGAAGGAAATTGAAACGGCTCATTCATCACATCTTCAGCTTCAACTGTGCTTCTCTCACAGGCTGCCCCTTCCTTTCAATGGAAATTCAGCTTGCCAGGCTTCTGCTGCAGCTGCTCACCCTCTGGTTTAAGTGCGCACTGGTTGGCTTTGCCTGCATGGAGAAGCAGCTGGACTGAGAATGGTTCATTATTACTGACAGAAAATGCAAAAGCAAATATTTGTGCATTGTAAATGCAATATAAAAATGAAGTGCTGTTTAACCAGGTTGCACTATGGACTTGGGTAGGCCTCAGTGTATAACACAATAGCCTGCCTGCAAAAACTTGCCCCTTTTTATGACTTACTCTTCCTTGAAAATGGTCCAAAGTTTATGCAGGAGAGGACAGACTGGTATTGGACCTTCACAAGATGAAGCAGTGATGGCTGAAAGTGTCAGGGTGATCTGCTGTTGTGTCTACTCCATGGCAGCAGGGTTTAGTGTGACACTTCAGCTCTGGGGAAATGCAAGTTTCCTATTTTTAATTTGTGTGCTACTGCAGTGTGCAGTCGAATTTGTGATGTGGTGCCTTGCAGAGGGCTCAGCACTACACCAGTGGAGCAACACTGATTTATGCCAGGCACTCCTGCACGTCCTGGTTTTTGTCCCATACCTGTGCAGCCAGCTCCACTGCTCTCCACAGTGTTTCTCTTGATTACCTTTTTTGTTTGCCTTTTCAGGGTGTGAGTTGTCTGGGCTGAGGGCTGGGCTTTTTGTTGGTGTTTGTACAGCATTTAGGGTGTCGTAGCTGCAGACAAAGCCAAAGAGTCATTAATTGCCACAGGACAGAGCACTGTCCATTTTCCACCAAAGTCACTGGAAGGTCTGCCCGTGTGGGCCCAGGAAAGGAGAATATACATCCCCCTGTCCATCTGCCATTATACAGATAGCAGCATCCAACCCTCAGCCTTATTCTCCTGGTCTTCTTTTGCCCGTGGTCCCATCAGCATCCCTGTGGCAGGAGCACATTCCCTGTTCTGCTCACCAAAATGTATTTGTGGAGGCTCCTCAGCTCTTCCCTGCCATGTCCCTGATGGAGAGGCTGGGACGGGGGCAGCGCAGTGGGCAAGCAGAGAGCAGAGACATAGAGCTGCCTCTTGCCTCTGCAGAACCTTTTGCCTGCTCCTCTCTTGAAATCTAGATAAAAGAGACCAGGAAAGGCTGTGTTTGGTAAGAGAGCCAAGCGGGCCAGTTTAATCCACCCTGCAAGAGCCAATTAGCCAAGGAGAGAGGGAAAAAAAAAAATGAGGTCATTCACCCTCACCACTTTGTGGCTACTCCAAAAGAAAAAAAGTATATGGGGTCTGTTCAAGAATGAGAAAAAAACAACATTTGTGACTGCAGATGGATGCAGAATATATTTAGTCAGTGGTCAAAGTGGAGGGAAAAGAAAAAAAATCTCATATGGAAAAAAAAATACTGTGAAGTTTTGTTAGGCAACCCGTTAATTTGGAATATAGATAGGGGAAAATGTGCTACTGGGTTCATATGGAGTCCTCAAAATTGCTTGTGTAGCATGCAAGGAAATCTATTTTGAGCATGTTATTTTGCCACAGTGAATAGTTTCGCCTTATGAGCATCATGTCCTTCAGTAACTTCTGGTTGTTCAGTAGCAAGAACAATGAGCTGATTCCTTCAATCTGCTCTCATGGGGAAAAAAAATTCTCCCCTGCAATACCAAATGTAGTAAAAC